GTGTGTGTCATGAGCAGAACGACACAGACTTCAATACTACTACTGTGCCTGGAAGAGCACACTGATGTTGGTTTTCCGAGCGACCTGTGTGGGAAGTGGCTGCAATCCTGGGTCCGCTTCCTACGTGTGAGCTAGCTCTCCAAACCTCGTTTTAATAGCTATCCCAAAGGACCCAAACACATGATTTGCCTATGTGAGGTTATTGAGACACTTGAAAGGAATACTCTGCTGTCTACTGGAAATCAAGGTAAACTGGACTGTCCGATTTCCACATAATTATGATGGATCGCTGGAATGGTCTTGAGTTACGGTATCTACTGAAATGTGATTGAACTTGAAGACAACTACATTATGCTCAAACTCTCAAAGAAAAATGGGGATATCCATGAAGCTGGCTCGTTCCCATAAATGCATTTTGCATGAGCTCCGCAGCATTTTTTAACTGAAAATGATAGCCTACCCTTCAATGTCACTGACGATAGTCCACCAAGAGATATACATGTACAACAGGATTTAGGATATACAGGTACTACATGTATATTTGTTTGTGAACCTACTGTATTGCACTTGAGTACACCTATTCGACGGTGCTTTATGAATGGTCAGAAGAGCTCTGTTGCTTCTTTTGTTTCTTTATTGATGTACCCTGTTGTTTTGATTGCATGTCCTTCTCCCGTGCCTCATGGCAATTAACCCTCCCATCTCTTATTCCTCCGGGGTACTCTCTTTCCTAGGCATCCAATTGCTTGGAGAATCATCGAGATAATCGTGAAACAAAATTAAAAAAAGGCGTCACCAGCTGAGTGATCATTAACATAACAATATACGTAATATAAATGGAGTGGTTTCCGATCCTTCCTCTATTACCTGCTACTATTACTAGATACCAGTAGTTGTAATGAAAGTGCTGCCTTCCTGCCCTTTCAATTTGTGTAACCTTGTCATTACTTACTAGTAGTTGGTTTGAGGGAAAGAGACAAACGGGAAAATTATTAGTAGTTCAAAATAACTTGCTGGTTCATTGGCCGAGGCATACGTTTTCGTGATACAATCTACCAACAGTATTCTACTCTTGGGAAACTATATTGCATGCGGTCAGTGATGATCGGATATAAAACATGCCAAGTTTCAGCTTACAGAGGAAGTGCGTTTGTGCTGCTGCAAATGGAAGGACATGTTTGGGATTGGGTATTTCAGAGTTGCCTTAACAACGGCGGCGTGCATCCTTAACAGCACCCTTTGGAGCTGGGAATCTCTAACCAAGGCCTAGCCTGTCCAACAGAGCCGGCCTTGAAAGTGCCCTTGTAAATAGCGTACTGACAAAACCAAGATACAAGAGAGTCCGTCACACACACACGCACGCACGCACACACACACACACACACACACACACACACACACACACACACACACACACACACACACACACACACACACACACACACACACACACACACACACACACACACACACACACACACACACACACACACACACACACACACACACACACACACACACACACACACACACACACACACACACACACACACACACACACACACACACACACACACACACACACACACACACACACACACACACACACACACACACACACACACACACACACACACACACACACACACACACACACACACACACACACACACACACACACACACACACACACACACACACACACACACACACACACACACACACACACACACACACACACACACACACACACACACACACACAGGAATTCTAATAATGACAATGATAACAAGATGTTTTGCAAAGTAGAATATTAAAGAATAAAAATAATTCAAGTGTTCTTTAGTGTGCGGAGAAAGGCAAAGGAAATATCAAATATGTGAATAGGTCTTTAGGTGAATTTAAAAAGATAGATAATGCAATGAATGATCTAAAATAAGTTGTAGAAGTTTTCTTTAGCCATAAATGGTACGAGAGTTCATGTGGGGAGAGCCTGGAAGAAGTGAAATGAACACACTATCTCTTGGTGCTAAAAAATAGCGGTGGCAGGGCAGAGCGATAACTATATATTATCATTACATGTGCTTGAACCGAAGTATTCTCCAGGCTCCATCCTAGTATGGTACTGCATACAGCTGTCTAGGAAGCTACAACTACAGCTATAGGGGCCATAGCTGTAGTTATTTGGGGCATAAGGATACACTGAATGAAGAGTGCAGGCATGTACTCAAACCAAACAGCCCACTTGAAGTAGCAAGCATGGCATCCTGCTGCAATGCAGGTTCATGCACGTAATATTAATTATTGTGCGTGCTGCAAATCTTGCACTAAATAGCAATAGCATTCGTAGTCTACAGTGCAGTGTCATGACAGTGTGCACACGTGTGTACATGTATATCTGTATGCAGGACAGGTTAGTCAAGTATCAACCGCCCCCGTGTTGTGCAAGAGACACACTTCAGTACACCGTTGCCCAGCCACCGTTGCCCAGCTTCGCCAGGAAGAAGCTTGAAGTATGTACCGAGGGGTGCGAGGGTCTGAGCTCAGCACCACAGAGTCGCCCACTGCTGATGGAACTACCAGGGGTCATCAACATGCAACATCAAATCTCCTGTGGATAAATGTACATGTACATGCACTTCCAAAGTACACGTACTAGATTCTGCAGGGGCAAATAAATACTCATGTTGGAAGTTTCTACTCAATCTACGGACAGTACTTTACTAGTATTTATATAGAAGTATGTGGAATGTTCGGGCCACACGAGATGCCGAGGTGAGTATGTTGAATTGTCCTCCTGTTAACGTCGGCCAGGCGGTGGTTTCTTGTTGTCCTGCAATGACCACTGCACGGATACTGTGTACTACATGTAGAAATAGGACACACTACACTGCACGGGACATTGTGGGAGCTGGTAGCGATGCTATCACATGCGCACTCATCCAGGATGCACACGGCTCTCGACACTGCGCGCACAGGCTCGTTCCGCGTCAACGCAGATCTACGATACAAATCCACTCGAGTTCTTGACCGCCACCGCTCCTAACCAGGCTGCACGGCAACACTTCATTTACCATCAGCCTTGCTGTAGAAGAGCATAGGAGAGAATGCAGGGACGTGCTTGCAGGCAGTTCTCACGGCAAGAGGAGACTTGGAGCAGACCATCAAGCGTGCTTGTTAAAAGATCATCATCCCCAACTCATTGTCTAACTGGTGGAAGGCATCAAGTCGTGTTTTGCCACAGCTGCCAGAGTTCTTCACTCCAACTTTATCACTTGCCCCTCTGTATTCTATGATGCACAGCTGCATCACAGTTTCCAGTTGAACAATGATTATCCAACGGACTATGGGCCGAGAACCCCAGCCAGCTGCTCAGAAGTGGTATTTTTGGGATAACAAAATCATCTTAGTTTTCATGTACACCATCCGGGACTACACGCACATATCACTTCAGTCAGAAATGTCGGGTGCATGGATGCATCAGTACAATCATGATGCTGCACGGTGTATGAGATTGTAGTGCAGGCCAAGGACAAGCCGCACGGAAAAAGGTGCAAAAAATGCGTAAATTCGCGGGAGTCAAATGCCATGATTCATCTTGACACTATTGCCCTGGGTAAAGCAGAGACACTATTCAAGACCGTGAACCTTGTCCGCATGGCATGTGTGAGGGTTCAGTGAGCTTTTCACACAGGCACCATGAGTACATGAAGAGCGTACAACTTGGCAATCTCTTGGCCCACGGGGGAAGTTTTTTTTTACATCGGTTTTCCGTGGCCTTTTGGCTCACTGATGTCATCATACTAGGCCGGGGATCAGAAGTGTACAGAGGTTGTTGCATATAGCATATAGCATATTGCAGCTAGAGCAATCAAAGCAGGGTAACGGACAGTAGGTCCATGTATCCTGGATATCCTGAGCTGACACCGTATCGCCAATGACGGGCACGGCAGGCCTACATACTCCCGCCACGGTGGCAGTTGATCACAAAACGAAAGAGTGCACTAGGTTGTGGACGTGTTGGCAATAGGATGCTTTCTCTCTGTCTCTGTCTCTCTCTCCTGGGATGTACCGTACATGTATCTCCGCCAGAAAATGAAGTGATAAAATACCTGCGTAGGCAACTCCATGGCAGCTCTAGACAGGGGCTGCACACTCTAGTAGGTTTTGTACTCTTGCTAGCGCATAGCACACCCTTTAGAACTGGTCTCTCTATTTAAGAGTCAGTACTAACAGAGTCCATCCCACTTGAACATTGGTTCTCAAAAATACAATAAGAAAGCGTGACTATGTTGAGCACTATTACCATACCTTCTCCATCAGGTTGAATGTCTTCGTCCACTTCTCCGAGAAGTCCATGCTGCCAAGATCCAAACGAATTTCTCCCAGGAATGTGTTCTGCGAGAGCCGTGCGTTGTCCCAGACCGATACCCACAAGACGCGAGATGTCAAGTCCGGTGTCTTGAACTGCCAAAGAGAAAAAGAGGACACGGACGAAAAAGAAAGGGGAATTATAACTGACAGGACTAATGATGCACGTAGAAAATGATTCCAAAAATCGGTGTAACCAGAAAGTGTAGAGATCTGGGACATTATATTGCCAACCAGTCCACAACCCAAGGCAAAACTGTAATGCGCCCTTTCGCGTTGCGATAGACAACCATAGAAGCAGATCAACACCTTCGCGAAGCCTGATACGTACTTCTAGGCCACAAAAAAACCATTCCTATAAACAAGAGAAGTCGTACCCTACCATCACTGACTTTGCTCCGCGGACAGACTAACTCTACTGCGCCACCGAGGTGAGCGTGGAATGAATGAATGCGAGTGTGAACTACCTCCTCTGCCCATCTTGAACTCACAGTTAGGGTTTCGTTGAAGGTAGGATTGAGGCTCTTCGAGACTTGCTTGGTCTTCTTCTTGGACTGCTTCTTAGGATCAGGCAACAAGTAAGCCTTGACATACCTACAGAAGATAATCACACACACACATAGAGCCAAACAGGACAGAAGGTTTCAGAAAGAATGTGTGCTTGTAGAAAAATTAACAAGGATACAAGAGCAACAGCGTTTACATACAATACTAACACCTCCACAGTGTACAGCTCTGCCGGCCTCAACCCCGGCCACAACCCCTGCCACAACCCCGGCCACAACCCCGGCCACAACCCCGGCCACAACCCCAGCCACAACCCCAGCCAAAGTCCTACACCACATACATTAGGGGTGAAACAGTTAACCGATAAACCGGTTATTTTACAGTTTAGAATAAATGAGCGGTTAAGGGGAAGTTAAGGCAAAAATCAAAATTTCACCAGTTGTAGTCTTCGGGGTGCTGAGTCGAATGGTCTTGGTCCGAGAAAGCTGAGACGCTCCCTTCCTACTTGAATCCCAATCGAACTCGCGCACTTCCACCGAAACTGGGTGACTGCGCCCTACTAGATGGGAATTTGTATGCAAAATGTCACTAAAAGCGCCATTTCGTTCTAAAAGCACGGATGACCGCGATTGGCCCATATGTTGTAGTCTTTTGGACGCTGAGTCGACTGGTTTTGGTCCGAAAAGGCTGCGATGCAGCGTTCGGCCCTTATTCCCAATCGAACGTGGTTGAACAAGCGGTCACATGCTCCTGGGTGCCCAAATCACCTGGTCACCACGCCAGCAGGCGACAACTTTCACATCAAGGTGCAACTCGAGTGACAGGACTGCACCCAAAAAAGGTCAAACAGGCTAGTAAGTTGTACCCTGCAGGCACGGTGACCAGGTGACTGGTGTACGCAGGAGCACGTGACCGCTTGTTCAACCATGTTCGATTGGGAATAAAGGAGGAACGCTACATCGCAGCCTTTTCGGACCAAGACCATTCGACTCAGCACCCCGAAGACTACAAGTGGTGAACTTTTGATTTTAGGCTTAACTTCCCCTTTAACGGTCACTCATTTACGTTTTCACTCTCCGCTGTACAGAATATACGTAGCTGTTGAGATACGTTCTTGTCAGAGTGAACACTGCGGGTGTTGTGCACAATGGATGCGTGACAAGGCGATTTCGCAGTTTTAGTCCACTTCAGCATATAAACATGAGATTATCTCGAAACAGCTCCGAAATGTTGAGCAAGTGAGAACGTGCGTCCACTACACATGTTGCGGTGAGTGTTTTTGGTAGTGAGTGAGAGCACGGGATATGAAAAATGACAAGCACACATGCACACCCGCGCGCACCCACCCACCCACACCCACCCACACCCACATATCTACATGACTGTAAAGTCTCTCACAACAGCTGTTACTCACGAGTCAGCAGAGGACCTCTTGGGTGGTGCGCTGAGGCCTTCACACCTGACAACGTGCACATCAAGCTTCTTCTTCACAAAAAGTATGGAGAGAGTAATAGAACCAGTGACTTCAACAACGCTTGCAGAGTTGACAAACGCTGACGCAGTGCTGCCGATGCTAGTTACGCTGTTCTGTAACAACACACGTACCATAATGAACATCACACGAAGTTCTACAAAGATAGCAGATTGACACGTGAATATCACACGGCCAGCACAAAGCTTACTCTATACTCATCTCTCTCATGTCAGAGGCAAAGCAAGGGTGCAACGCAACCGCATGAAAAAATAAACCATTGCATTTTCAGGACAATCAAATGTGGAAGACACCATAGGTGACAGGCAAGACAAAGGACAAAAGTCAGAGGATAACTTTTTCACGCAAGAGAGAGAAAGACAGAGACAGACAGACGGATGGACCGAGAGAGGGAGAGGGACAGGGAGAGGGACAGGGAGAAAGAGAGAGAGAGAGAGAGAGAGAGAGATAGAGAGAGAGAGAGAGAATATTCACTTACACTTCTCTTGAGGTTGCTGGTTCGAGCATTTAAAGCTGATTTCTGTAATGGCTCATTCATAGCTGACTCGGCTCCAGCACTCATTTTTCCAATGGCGGAAGCCGGCGTGGATGACGTATCATCATCCACATTCTCTGGCTCTTCTATCTCACACTGTACTGATGGCGGGCTTTCAGACGTAGCGACACCAGCTGCACCAGTCTCAGGCTTCTCCAAATCCGGTGACGCAGGTATGCTATTCTTCACTGACTCCTTGGACACTCGTTCCCTGATTGGCTCCATGGGTTCGTCATGGTCTACTTTACGGACTGAACGTGGCGACTCTAAATCGTCATCAACCACCATGTTAGAAGGTAAGCTATCCTGAACATTGAAACACACACCCAACGTACATTATATAATAACAGTGATCATTATTAATTCTCACAACCACCAACACAGGGCTGTCATCATCAAACAGTTTTCTTCTCTCCAAAAAGTGGAAAAGAACAAGAGGTGAAAAGGGCACTTTGCAATCTACGGTAAGCCCTAACAAGGTGCTAGTAACATAGAGGTCAGATCCTGGTCTGCTGCCAGCCAATGACACCTGAAGATAGTCGCTATAATCGATAACTCAATCGTTAACAAAATTAATATAGGTGATCAATAGCTAGTTTTCAATGACAATTTGACCCCTAACTTAGACACGTTGCATGCGCTGGTACCACAAAACAATGGACAAAGGTAGCAGTGGCAATGCATAATATGTGCAAAGATTGCCAGAGAACAAACCTTTTCTTGCAAGTCAAACGTTTCTGTGTCCTGATGGCTCTGAATGTTGTCGAGTAGAAGACGAACTTCTCCAAGGAAAGCGTTATGTCCAAGGCGGGCATTGTCCCAAACTGATACCCACAGTGTACGACCAGACAGCTCAGCACGCGATAGTTTGTACTGTAGGAACAGTCACAACAGAATACAGCACAGAAATTAATCCACACAACGAATACACAAAGAAAGGTTGTGTATTCACTGGTTTGAGGGAAAGATGCAAACAGAAAAAGGTTGTGTATCAGACCGCGCTGAAAAAGTCTTTTGTTTCAGGTAACCCGACCGACCGATGTACAAGTACAAGCAACTACAAGTGTGTGTGTGTGTGTGTGTGTGTGTGTGTGTGTGTGTGTGTATGTGTGTGTGTGTGTGTGTGTGTGTGTGTGTGTGTGTGTGTGTTTGCTCGGCTGCTTGAAGGTGTATTGTTGTACCTACCACCTTTGTTGGTTTCAGGGTTCATATACTTTCTATTTGAAGTATACATACCTGTTAACCATGGACTGTTTCTGGCTAGATTAACTCTTGTGTAATCAATGGTGCTAGAGAAGCTTATATCAGATCCACTCTGATTTAGCCACCCACACTAGTACCAAGTATTACCTTCACTGGGGGCAGGGGTACCTGCAGTTGGATCCCGAGACGGATACCCTGATGCCGTCAATCCTTTTTGTGCACCTTGTTGAGTCATCTTTCCAAGATTCCTTTTGAGTCTCTCTCCCCTCTCCCGGGGAGACCCACGTGACCAGTTTTGGCAGTGAGCAAGCACAAGTACAAGTGTGTGTGTGTGTGTGTGTGTGTGTGTTGTGTGTGTGTGTGTGTGTTGTGTGTGTGTGTGTGCGTGCGTGAGCGTGTGTGTGTGTGTGTGTGTGTGTGTGTGTGCGTGCGCGTGCGTGCATGTGTAGGGAGGCAGGTGTTCAAGAATTCATTGTTCGTGAATGAAACATTGAATTTCATTAGAAGCTTGTTTGATAACGTAGAAGTGGAGGGCGGGATAGGGATATTGTTTCTGACGTACCTGCAAGTCTTCACTGTATACCGGTGATGTTGTTTTCTTGGCTGCTTTCGTTTTCTTTTTGCTGGACTTAGCCTTGTCAGGCACCAGGTACGTCTTCACATACCTGCTCATTGAAACACAAAACAGAACAACAAACCGGCAAACATAAAATTACATATTGTCACCAAAACAATAGATAATCCAAGAGTAGTGGCAACAACTCAACAAACAGGCATTCACATTTCAAAGCTCTGCAAAATAAAAGACTCCTACAAAATGCGAAAGCAATAGGCCTATGAAAAATAGGTGGTAAGTACTCAAATGGTGGGGCAAGGAAGATAATTAGATGGAACCAAGGAAAACGGTGGGGCACAAGTTATGCGCTAGAGTCCACCAACTAAACCAGGTTTCGAACAGTCAGACGTGCACAAGGTAGCACCAGACTGACCAGGAGTACTGAGACATTCCACGGCAAGGAAGTGAGCTTGAGCACTGCTCGATAGCACTAACCAAGGCATTCCACGTCTGACTGTTCAAGGCCTGGTTTAGTTGGTGGACTCTAACGCATAACTTGTGCCCCGCCGTTTTCCTTGGTTCCATTTAAAAATAGGTGGTTAGGACAAAAGAGAAAAGAAGAGACAGTGAATGCTGGGAGGAAAGAGGAGAAGAACATGAAAGCGAGAAAGCAGCTACAAATACAAAAATAGCAGTCTGGAGAGTACTTACGGATCAACCAAGCCATTGCTGTGCGGACTAGCCAGTCCTTTGCAGCCCTTGACCTTGACATGCAGACAACCATTGTTATAGTAGACTGCCAATGTCATGTTACCAGTCACAACTACTGTTTTTCCAGCGCTAGCACCTGGTGCCATGGTAGCCACACTACCCACACTGTACAGACTGGTGGTATCCAAGTCCTGACAGAAATCCACACACACATACACAGATATCAACATTAGCAGAGCTCCTCAAATCTAGCAAAACACACTGTGGTTTCAGCCTGTCTGAGAGTAGACTTCACACACCTCCATGCGCTCATGCAAAGAATAGCATCAAACGCTCCATACAACTGCTACAAGCAATGCTCCAACCCGAACATTGATGCACATATCCTGAACACATCGACACTCAGTGGCATTCAACAGTACTAGTACAGCAAACAGAATTTACAGTAGCCCACTCACCTTCACTTTGCTGTGCATTGCACTGGCTGGCTCCACTGATGACTTTGAAGCGGGTACGGCAACGTCAGACGAAGACACTGCCATGGCCTCTTGCTTCACAATATCTTCCTTATCACCACGCACATGCTCTGCCTGCTTTGTCTCAGATTTTACCGACGTCCGGCTCTCGGATTCGGCAACACCAGCTGCACCAGGATCAGAGTTCTCCACCTGCGATGACGCAGATGTGATGTTCTTTAACGACTCCTTCGACGCTCGTTCCCGGATTGGGTCCAGCGGTGGATCGCTGCCGCTTCTACGGACTGAATGTGGCGACTCCATATCGTCATCAAACACCATGTTGGACGGCAAACTGTCCTGTAAGTAGAAGCACACACATGCAACACATAACAACAATGGGAATAATTAGCCCAGCCACTGACACACGGCTGACGTCAGCAAGAGAGGGGGTTTCTCTCCAAAAAAGGAGAATCATTATCATTATTTTTCCGTCATTCTCTCTTCCTACATGTATTTCTCTTTCCTTAGAAAAAAAGAAGTTTTCGCATCATGTCCATCGCTTGACATTGTTCACTAAAGTAACTCGAGGTCACTTCAGTTAGTCCTCCTTGTTGTGATACAAAAAAAGGAGACGTTTAGTTAAAAAGGCGTTTCACAATGCATGGTAAGCTCTGTTTAGATTATAGTAGGTATGTTATATGTTCAGTTCAGATCCTAGTCTGCTTTACTGCGATGTATACCGATGTAATGCTTGCTCCACTCAGCACAGGCCACTTGAAACACGAACTGAAGGAACATAGCTTGTTTGTGGAGACCCCAGCCTAGGTATTGATTATTTTTGACCCAAAAGGTGCTGCACGCGCAACAAATCGATCGCACACAAGTGAAAGCATGGCGAAACAGAGAATGAAGGTACCCGTGGTGATACATATGTGCAAACACAGCGAGAGAACAAACCTTTTCTTGCAAGTCGAAAGTTTCCGTGTCCTGATGGCTCTGAATGTTGTCGAGTACAAGACGGACTTCACCAAGGAAAGCGTTATGGCCAAGGCGGGCATTGTCCCAAACTGATACCCACAGTGTACGACCAGACAGCTCAGCACGCGATAATTTGTACTGCAGGAGAAATCACAAAAAATCAGCACACAAAAGGTTTCAGACACAGATTGCAAAAAGAAAGACACATACCATTTAGCAAGGTCTTTACTGCCTGATTAATAAGACTTCCTTGTGCTTCTGGAAGCTACTTACATTGACTCCCTACCTTCGACAAAAGCAAGTGTTTACAGGGTAGTCAGCATGGCAAAATGCATAGCACTGAGTGTGTTCTCTTGGGTGTGTGTGTATGTGTGCGCGCGCGCGCGCGCGTGTGTGTGTGTGTGTGTGTGTGTGTGTGTGTGTGTGCGCGTGTGTGTGCATGCATGTGTGTGTGTGTGTGCGTGCGTGTGCATGCGTGTGTGTGTGTGTGTGCATGCGCATGTGCGCGAGTGTGTGTATGTGTCCTAGTAGGTGCACACATGTGTGAATGCATCCATGCATGTGTGGTGAGGAGTTGCAAATAAAGTCATTTCGTGAATGAAACATTGGATTTCATTAGAAGCTTGTTTGATAAGGTAGAAGAGGAAAGCCAGATACGGATATTGTCTCTTACGTACCTGCAAGTCTTCACTGTATACCGGTGATGTTGTTTTCTTGGCTGCTTTCGTTTTCTTTTTGCTGGACTTTGCCTTGTCAGGCACCAGGTACGTCTTCACATACCTGCTCATTGAAACACAAAACAGATCAACCAACCGGCAAACATAAAATTACATACTGTCACCATAACAAAAGATAATCCAAAGTTGTGGCAACAACTCAACAAACATGCATTCACATTACAAAGCTCTGCAAAAAAAAAAGAGTCCTACAAGTTACAACATGCTCGCAATAAGCCCATGAAAAATAGGTAGTTAGGATACGAGAGAATAGAATGGGAAAGTTATAGTGTGAAAGAACTAGGGCGCGTCTGGTTGGTACGACCTAGAACAGGATTCGCCAAAACAGCGCGTTTGGTTGGGACTGCACGTGTTCTGGGTTGGCCAGAACATGTTCTGCTTGCTCCGGCCTCGAGGCCGGAGCAGACCGAGCAGTTTCACTTTTTTCACAGTGAAACCTGCCGGGAACATTGATTTTGGTCCCAAATGATCACGTGCATACGCTTTTGGGCTGGACTCGTTGTACCGTACACAGTGACCATGGTGACCCATACACATTTTTGAAGAATGCACCAAGTTTGGCATATTTTTCAAGAAATGTGCTCTGTTTCTGGAGTACCGTTTGGTTGGCATGAGGCTGCTCCATGTGCACCAGCTGTTCGATCCTGTTCTAGATCGTACCAACCAAACGCACCCCAAGAGATGAGGAAAGTGGGGGATGTTGGGGGGGGGGGGGGGGAGGGAGGGAGTAGCAGCTCTGAAAAATAGGAGTATGAAGAGTACTTACGGATCAACCAAGCCATTGCTGTGCGGACTAGCCAGTCCTTTGCAGCCCTTGACCTTGACATGCAGACAACCATTGCCATAGTAGACTGCCAATGTGATGTTACCAGTCACAACTACTGATTTGCCAGCGCTAGCACCTGGTGCCATGGTAGCCACACTACCCACACTGTACAGACTGGTGGTATCCAAGTCCTGACAGAAATGCACACACATACATACACACACACACACATGCACACACACACACACACACACATACACAGATATCAACATTAGCAGAGCTCCTCAAATCTAGCAAAACACACTGCTGTTTCAGCCTGTTTGAGAGTAGACTTCACACACATCCATGCGCTCATGGAAAGAAAGGCATCAACCGCTCCATACAACTGTTACAAGCAACGCTCCAACCCGAACAATGATGCACATATCCGGAGCACATCTACACTCAGTGGCATGCAGACTACCAGTACACCAAACAGAATTTACAGTAGCCCACTCACCTTGACTTTGCTGGGTATTGCACTGGTCGGCTCCACTGATGACTTTGAAGCGGGTACGGCAATGTCAGACGAAGACACTGCCATGACCTCTTGCTTCACAGTAACATCCTTATCACTACGTACATGCTCTGCCTGCGCTGTCTCAGATTTTACTGACGCCCGGCTCTCAGATTTGGCAACACCAGCTGCACCAGGATCAGAATTCTCCACCTGCGATGACGCAGATGTGATGTTCTTCAACGACTCCTTCGACGCTCGCTCGCGGATTGGCTCCAACGGTGGATCGCTTCCTCTTCTACGGACTGAATGTGGCGACTCCATATCGTCATCAAACACCATGTTAGACGGCAAACTGTCCTGAAAGTATACGCACACACATGCAACACATAACAACAACAGGAATAATTAGCCCAGCCACTGACACATGGTTGAAGTCAACAGTACAAGAGGTTTTTCTCTCCAAAAAAGGAGAAGTTTAGATAGAAGGCATTTCGCAATGCGTGGTAAGCTCTGGTTTAGATTAGGTACTTTACATTGAGTTCAGATCCTAGTCTGCTTTACTGCCAACAACAAAGGACCTCTCACATAAGAAAAAAAGGTGGTTCTTGACCAGGGAGTTGTACGACTCCTTGTTCTTGACCTGCCCGGTACGCGAACCCGTCGAATTTATTTTACATAAGAAAACCTAAACTAGTCACATTGAGATGAGAGATGTACACAAATACAATGCTTGCTCCACTCAGCACAAGCCACTTGAAACCCGAACTGAACACAGCTTGTTTGTGGAAACCCCAACCTAGGTATGGACTAGTGTGAACCAAAAAGGTGCTGGACACGCAACATTTAAATACAAACAAGTACAAGCAAGGCAGAACAGAGAATAAATAAAGGCAACAGTCGTGATACATGATATGTGCAAACACAGCGAGAGAACAAACCTTTTCTTGCAAGTCAAACGTTTCAGGGTCCTGGTGCACGTGAATGTTGTCGAGTAGAAGACGCACTTCACCAAGGAAAGCGTTATGGCCAAGGCGGGCATTGTCCCAAACTGATACCCACAGTGTACGACCAGACAGCTCAGCACGCGATAGTTTGTACTGCAGGAACAGTCACAACAGATCACAGCAGTGAAAAGGTTTCAGACACAGAATACACAAAGAAAGTTTTGTGTGTCATACATACCATTTAGCAAGGTCTGGACTTTCTTGTGCTTCTGAAAGCTACACACATTGACAACCTACCTTCGCCAAAAGCATTACAGGGTAGCCAGCATGGCACTGAGTGGGTTCTCTTGTGTTTGTGTGCGTGCGTGTGTGTGTGCGTGTGTGTGTGGGGGGGGGGGGGGGGGGTCATCAGCCATGCAAGCTGTTGAATGGTCTAATCCCAGCACAAGTTGATATGTCTAACATAGCTGTTCGCTATCATCGCTTCCGCGATGGGCATGTCTGAGGTCTGAGGTGTGGGTGCGTGTGTGCGTGTGTGTGTGTGTGTGTGCGTGTGTGTGGATGCATCCATGCATGTGTGGTGAGGAGTTGCAAATAAAGTCATTTCGTGAATGAAAAATTCAATTTCATTAGAAGCTACAACGTAGTTTGATAAGTTGGAAGAGGAAAGCGGGATAGGGATAATATGTTCAATAAGTACCTGCAAGTCTTCACTGTATACCGGTGACGTTGTTTTCTTGGCTGCTTTCGTTTTCTTTTTGCTGGACTTTGCCTTGTCAGGCACCAGGTACGTCTTCACATACCTGCTCATTGAAACACAAAACAGATCAACCAACCGGCAAACATAAAATAACATAATGTCACCAAAACAATAGATAATCCAAGGGCAGTGGTAATAACTCAATAAACAGGCATTCACATTACAAAGCTCTGTAAAATAAAAAAGAGTCCTACAACATGCTCACAATAAGCCCATGAAAAATAGGTACATGTGCATGTAGTTAGGACACAAGAGAAGAGAAAAGTTATAGTTTAAGAGAACTACAGATGAGGAAAGTGGGGATGTTAAGGGGGGGGGGGGGGGGGAGTAGCTGCTCTGAAAAATAGCAGTCTGGAGAGTACTTACGGATCAACCAAGCCATTGCTGTGCGGACTAGCCAGTCCTTTGCAGCCCTTGACCTTGACATGCAGACAACCATTGCCATAGTAGACTGCCAATGTGATGTTACCAGTCACAACTACTGATTTGCCAGCGCTAGCACCTGGTGCCATGGTAGCCACACTACCCACACTGTACAGACTGGTGGTATCCAAGTCCTGACAGAAATCCACACACACATACATACACACAGATATCAACATTAGCAGAGCTCCTCAAATCTACAAACACACTGCTGTTTGAGAGTAGAGGAGCAGACTGTGCACACATGTATGCGCTCATGGAAAGAATAGTATCAAATGCTCAATACAACTGCTACAAGCAGTGCTCCAACCCGAACATTGATGCACATATCCTGAACACATCTACACTCAGTGGCATTCAACAGTACTAGTACAGCACACAGAATTTACAGTAGCCCACTCACCTTCACTTTGCTGGGTATTGCACTGGCTGGCTGCACTGACTGACCACCACCACCGCCGATGGGGCTGGTGTGCTCCACACGGGATCCTTCAGAAGCGACACTGGCACGGCTGACAGACACCACAGGAGCGCCGGAGGTGGCGGGATCCGTTCCACTTAAACCCTCCGTACCACTGCTGCTCGTCTTGATGAACTCCAAGGACCTTGAAGCAGGCACGGCAATGCCAGACGCTGACGCTGCCATGGCCTCTTGTTTCAGAAGGTCCTCCTGGATAATATGGGTTTCAGGATCTGCCGCCGGTGGAGCCATATCGCTGAACTTGACCTCTGGGCTTTTCTGCAAGGGAAAAGGGTTAGGAAATAATCAGCAGAGACGGTTAGGTGTGCCCAAATAAAGAAACACAAGTACTTGTATGGAATTATTGGAAAAGCCACTAGTAACAGCACACATCACAACAGCCTCCCCCCCCCCCCCCCCCCCCCTCCCACACACACACATATTCTTACTCAATTCAGTACCCCCCCCCCCCCCCCGCCATATACTTTGGTCTGGGACTTACCAAGTCAAAGAGAGGTATTTCACGGGGTGATTCTTCTGCAAAATCGACAGACGCCATCTTGAGCCGTACTTCTCCTAGGAACGTGTTCCTGGACAGGGTATGGTTGTCCCAGACCGACAGCCACAGGGTGCGGTCCCTCAGCTCACTCTCATTCATCTTGATCTGTCACACAGATGCAAGCACACATCCAAACATCCACATATACATGCACACACACACACACACACACACACACACACACACACACACACACACACACACACGCGCACACGCACACGCACACGCACACACACACCCATGCACATACACACACACACACATATGCACATACACGCACACACGCACACACACACACACATACACATACGCATACGTGCACACGCACGCATACACATAGTTTGGCATCACACGCCGCAGTGAAGACATACACTAACATAAACATACACACTCCGTAAAGAGATGGACTGATGCAGCAATACACTACATGTACATGCCTCCAGTCACACTCACACTCATAGTCAGACATTGACACAGCAAAGAGCTGGGGATGATGTAGCTGGGAAAAACTTGTCTTCTCTCCCCCGCTGTGGGAATGCAAAGAAGATGCAGATGACAAACTGGCATACGAGTAAAGTATATGCAAGGCGGAACTCACAGAAAGCGTCTCGTCGAACCTAGGATCCAGCGTCCTCTTCTTGGCCTTTGTCTTGCGTTTCGTGGCCTTGTTCTTATCCGGCAGCAGGTACAGCTTGATGTACCTAACAACATGAGCACAGCAGCAAAGGAGCACATGTAGCCATGCATGCAGGTTGAAGACACTTATGACTTGTGAGTATTCTTCTGTGCACAGCCACTCTTCCAATGACATAATTTCCAAGAACAAGAAATGGCAGCAAGCAAGCCTTCTTCAACCCTATCCTCCTTCAACATTATGGGAGCAACACTCTACTAAATATACAAGCAATCTGCCCCATACGGACATTCTGCGTGCCTGTGATGCAGAGGACAGCAACGAGAGAGAACGTGAATGTGTTCATGGTCCATCACTGTGCTGACTGTGTGTGTGTGTGTGTGTGTGTGTTGTGTGTGTGTGTGTGTGTGTGTGTGTGTGTGTGTTGTGTGTGTGTGTGTGTGTGTGCATGAAACTCTTGACATGGTGGTACAAACATCAGACGTAATACGACAATACATGTATGCGAAGTCATACTGAAGGCTCTTGCTGATGGCCTGCGTAGCTCACCACTGTCGCAGTGTTTATGCAAACATACACACATGCACGCGCACGCACCCACCCACCCCCACACACACACCCACACCTATGCCGGCAAGCTAGCTTACGGATCAGCCACGGTTCCTGGTCCACGCGGGGGAGCCAAATCGATGCAGCGCACAACATTGATGTGAAGCTTGCTGGCATGGTAACTAAGACCGAATGTGACAAAGCCAGTTACCACCACGGTACGCATGCTGCTCATTCCACCAGCTGCAGTTGTGATTGTCGACTGGACACTCTCATAACTACCAACACTGTCCTGTTGGCCACGCACACACATCACCACCACCACCACCGCCACCACCACCACCACCACCACCACCACCACCACCACCACCACCACCACCACCACCACCACCACCACCACCACCACCGCCACCAGAACAACAGACAGACAGACAGACAGACAGACAGACAGACAGACAGACAGACAGACAGACAGACAGACAGACAGACAGACAGACAGACAGACAGACACACACACAGAGACAGAAAGACAGACAGACAGGCAGACAGACAGACAAAGTGATGAGACAAACTTTCATCCACTGGGAAAACTGAGAACTCCAAGCTGCAACTTTGGTCAAACGAAATGAATTGCAGGAAGCAACGTAAACACTACAATCAAGATAACATGAAGCATAATCACAATAAGATGAGATAATGTGGAGGCTACGGATAGGCTGGCTATGATGCCGGCTCACACTGGGCACAAACAACCCTAACCCTAATCATGCAGGTTCCAGGGTACCCCCCCCCTCCCCCCCCCCCCCCTTCCCCGGTCTTTCCCATACAGCTACTCTAAATTTAATCATTCCCCCGGCCATGTGTGTGCGCAAGCAGTTTCTAACTGGGGGAGAGAACTGACCCTTCTTGCCAAGCGTGGCGATGGCTTGCTGTGTCCCTGCAGCTTGGGTCTTAAGCGCTGGCTCTCCGGTGTTGGTGCTCCGGACATGGACGGAGTGCCTACAGACACCCTGGCCAGATCTCCGCCGAGAATGTGGTCGGTGGTCGCCTGGCTATTCTGTACGTGCACACAAACACATCAACGCAAAGATGGAAACTCTGTGGAGAAGTGAACAACGCTCATCAAATGTACATGTACAACAATAGCTCTCGCTGCAGTGAGTTTGCTTTGTCGCCGTTCAACTAATTTGCCGGTGTGTTGAGACTTTGAAGAAGAGACTGTCCAGTCTCATCACTAGAATCAGTGGTACAGTGCTGGTGCATCTAGCTCACTATGAAGCTGAGACCCCAGGTTGGCTAGGTCTCACCACCTGATTGCTCCTCAATTCCAACCAGATTGAATCAATGGGCGCTTGTATAAACATTTTTTTTATATAACAGAAACATGGATATCAAGATGGCAATGTGCACAGCAAACTCAGACAGTGTACTAGTACCAGGACTGACCTGCTCAGCCAGAGGGTACTCCAGCACGGTGGCATCGCACAGGTCGACCGAGTCCAGGCGCAGGCGCACCTCGCCCAGGAACTTGTTCCGGCCCAGCTTGGAGCAGTCAAAGACGGCTATATGCAGGATACGACACTGCGCATCCTCCAGTGATACCGGCCACTGCACACAGTGATAAGGCAGACACAACAGGAAAACAAAACGTCAGCATGGCTGGCAAATGGCTGGCAGCAAAAATGCTTTGTTGCTCGTTAGATTTGTGATTGGCTCGGCCAGTGACTCTGTACTCTGCTGACAAGACCTAGCAAGGCCGAGACAGCTAGCCGTCTGGAGATGGAGTAGCAGCAAACATATTCAAATAAGACTGTTCCATCGCATCGGTACGAGTAGACAATAGCATGTAAATGTACAATTCAAGGCAATGTTAGCTCTACGGAAGTATAACAACTTACTGTCAATGTGGAGTTGTACTGGGGGTCAACAGTCTGCCGAGCAGCCTTGGTTTTCCGCTTTGTTTCCTTATTGGCATCCGGCAGCAGATAGGCCTTGACGTAACTGGAAAGAAATGAAGTCGTTGCAACGAGAATGCGGCACAGCATGCAGATAAGCACAAAAGAAAACAAAAGCGCACGTGTACGCACTTGTACGCACGTGCACATACAAACAGACAACGGAGAATGTGCACCCACACGCTCATACTCCAGGAATGCTTCTCTACGGGCATGGAGCACTCTTCGTAATTTCTAACGTCAGGCACAACCCATACACGTCGGACCATATTGACATGGAGCAAAATCATAACCGTCTACGGTGCAGTATGCGGCTGGCCGTGCAGCGTGCTGCCAAAGAACAGGAGCCTTCCTGAACCGCGCACAGGGAATGTCGGACCCATGCGCATTTACTAGTATGTAGGTATTTCTTTATTCGAATTCGCAAGTACACACGGGCTACAAGCCCAATTGCGTGTACATGGAAGCGAATGCGAGAATGGAGTTAAATAAGGGGGGTTAGAGCACTCTACAAAAGCCTGATGTACAACACACAGTGTGTGAATTGTCCACAAAGTCCAACATACAACATACAACATACGTGCTAGTAAGCATGCGTGTTGCTTTGAAAACAATAAGTTGAGTACAGCTGTTGGCGGGCAATGATGATGTATCACCGACACTGCAACAGGATGATATACAAACTGTTCACCGACTGAACAGGCATGCAGTACCATGCAGTGGCATGCACACAAAAGACATCCAAAAACACTCACGGATCCGGGTTGCCAAACCGGTGTGGATTGGCTAGGTTGATAGCTCTCTCCACAGACACCTGCAGCTCGTCGTGCCGGTGACAGATGGACATCTTGAGAAAGCCAGTGACGCCGGTGAACGATCCTCTGCTGCCTTTAGACTGGGCACTGAGACCGGTGGACACACTGAACAAACTTTCGTGACTAGACTGTAAGCACACAACGTAAAGAAAGAGTGTTCCCATTTACCAAGCAGGTCGCTTGGAATAAAACAAAAAAACTCACTCTGTTGTGCACACAGAATGTGCACGTACGCACGCATGCACCTGCCACGCACACACGCGCACACACACACGCGCACGCGCACACACACATCCACTCTGCTACAACGTGATTCTACATACAAGGACCACAATAACCAAGGCATCTGGAATGCACCAGCAGCGTGATCAAAGTAAAACTCTTACTGATTTTTTCACACCCATAGGCTTGACAACAGGCTCAGCAACAGGTGGTTCGGAGTCGACTTGCTACAGCACACCCAGTAGAAAGACAATAATCAAACATTACTTTGAAAATGGGGCAACAAAGGCTTGCATGCCTGTACGCACACGCACACGCACGCACGCACACACACACACACACGCACGCACGCACACACGCACACATACACGCACACACCCGAGCACACCCGAGCACACTTTGTACTCGGTGCTAAAACGATACAATGTGCAAAGGACAACTCTCGCCGCTGGACTGCAAACTCTGCCGGCAGATCAGCAATCAGTGCCATCAGCCCCAGAATGTTATCAAGAGATTACATACTTGAGCAGATCATGCAGGCTTTGCCATGGGCAGGATTCCATGAAGCAGAGCTACTTAGGGGGTATTTAAAATGCACATTGGGTATGCATGTGTAGTTCTAGTATCCAGGTAGCAATAGGTTGGGAAGTTAGTAGTCAAACTACTCATACACAGCAGAATGCACAAAGGAGGTTTACAGAGTTCGTCACAACTCACAGTTTCTTGCACAATGCAGCAATCATCAGGTGACTTTTGGGTCATGTTCAGTGGAACTGGGCCAATATAATAGCATCGTTTGGTGATAGCTAGTGGGTATTCTCTGTAAACCTCCGTTGTGCCTTTTGTGTGTATAAGTGCTCCACATTATTGTGTTGTGTTGAGCTGTCCTCCTTGTAGTCAAACTACTCATACATTTCAACATGTGTCCACGTAGGGGCATGAAACGGGAACCAGAGACCCCCGGGGTACTCGTATGTATGTGTAGTTACAGCATCCAGGTGACCATACGCTGTCCACCTAGACTGGCAGTATATGGGAGCAAGAGCCCCCTTCCCCGGCCTGCGCAGCAGTCAGAAGAGGAAGAGGAAAGGTGCTTACCCGATCATGTAGCGTGTAGTGCAGCAGGTCACTACATCTCAAGTCTAGGCGCGACAGCGGCAGGCGAGTCTCGCCCAGGAAGCTGTCACTGCCATGTCCTACATGGTCCCAGACCGACAGCCACAGTATCTTGTCAAACACGTCATCGAACGGTACCTCAAACTGTGAACACAAGAGCAGGTGAAACAAAACACACAAGCGACACCACAGGGTTGCTGGTGAATCGGTTTCCTCCAATAATTTTACCTGATCAAACAGGCATCACAGAGCTCACTGAAACCAAAAGAACTCACACTAAGGCAAACACTGGATGTAAAAAGGAAAAAGAGGAAACGAGAAAAAGCAGTAACTACATGCTTAGAAATAAAAGTCACACGTACCTCGAATAGGGAGTTGAAAAGCGGCCAGCACGTGCCTCGCATCGACGGGGAGATTTTCTTAGTGGCATGCTCATCGTCGGGAAGCATATACAGACGATAATACCTGCACACATACATAGCCAGGCACACACACAGAATGTACAGGAAACCCGGTTTAAAACAAACCATTCCTCCACGTATATGTTGACCTATGGTCGAAAGACCGCCTGTCCGAAAGACAAGTTTTCTGTGCACCATGGGGCGGTTGCGAAACAAACACAGGCTTGACCGCACTAAGGTGCTATCCCCCCCCCCCCCCCCCACACACACACACACATACATATTCTACACAGGTGAAGAGCAGATCTACACGTACAGTACATGTACCTGCTATAAGCAACCACTGGCATAAGAGACAACCTGCCTTCAGAGACCACACACCTCGGTCCCCAAACCATGCTCCACCGTATTCCACCGTGCTTTCGACAACTGTCTACAAAGACACCAGCATTCTATCAATTTCTATGCATGGAGGGTAGCTGATGATGGACCTGACTGTGCATGCTCTGCTTTCGATCAACCAGATTAAAAATAATCACAGCAGGCGCCAAAAGAGCAAACAAGAAGTTGTATCAAGAGAACAGAACCATAATACTCTTGGTATAACTTATCAATATGACCAAACTAGAAAGAAAGGAAAGTTAAGCACACGCACTACAAACACACCATTCCAAGCCAAATACGAGACTACACGACGGAAAACCTACGGATTCGGCAGGCTGTTGGCTCTGGGATTGGCAAGGCCTTTGATCTCTTGAACTCCGACAATGACCTTGCCACCCTTGTACTGGACAGATACGGCCACAGAGCCGGTGACATCCAGGTCACTAGAGGCCACCTTGTGAAGCGGAGTTGGATCAACCTCAGAAAGACTATGGCGATCCGGATCAAGCTGAGGCTGGAAACACAAAACCACACACATACACACACACACATGCACACACACACGCACGCACACACACACACACACACACACACACACACACACACACACACACACACACACACACGCACGCACACACGCACGCACACACGCACGCACACACACACGCACACACACACACACGGACACACACACATGCACAGACACACCATAGATATAAACATACTGTTGAATGGCAAGGTACGGATATGGCAAAACTGGGATTCAACAGCATCAGATATGCCGAAAAACTGCACACCTGTATACTATGGAACTAACAACACCTGTATACTAGTAATGACAATCTTCATGACCCAAATTTTCGCTCTAATGCATCACTGTGCATTGCTTATCCCGAAGAACAGCCATTAAATGCTATTGCCACTGTGTACTCAAACATGTAGAACACAGGCGAGCCAGAGCAACCCTACCAACAGCAGCCAGAGCAACCCTGCCAACAGCAGCCAGAGCAACCCTACCAACAGCAGCCAGAGCAACCCTACCAACAGCAGCCAGAGCACCACAAGACACAACCTCAACACACATAATTATACAGTAGCAAATGCCCTGGACCAGCACAACTGACCTCCTCAGCTTGCTCCGCAGCAACAGACCCCTGGGCCTCTTCCTGCATGGAGAAAGCACAAAACAGATGCCTGATAGAACAATGCGCCCTTCACCCAGCCTTGGAACAGGCTCATAGCAACTAGTACAGACTAGAATTCTTTGCAGTAAAACTCTAACCCGCAACACACGAACAGCCCTCGGCTACAACAGCACGCACAATGATTGTTTCCGGAATTTTCACCCAGCAGGGCATCATCAGGGATATAGGAGAGGATACAAAGATGGCTAATATAAGACAGTACAGGGCCAGAATTCACACTACTCGTATGCAACAAGTCACAAGCTAGCAAGTCTAACGTTCAACTATCCCACCAGTACCCCTTCGACTCAAACTTTTGATGAGCGAAGGGGGGGGGGGGGGGGGGGGGGCAACATGCAGCCTTGATATACTGATTGCAAGCACAGCAATTTGCAGTTCTTGAAAGTGAAGGCCAACACCGGGTGAATTGTACATGCCCCAGAGCCACACAGCCCTCGATGCCATCGGCTTAGAGCATGCATTGGATGATGCCAGCAAAGACAAACTCTCAAGGTGCAGCTCTGAAGCCGGGGGTCAGATTTCATTCGACGGCATTGCAGCACGAGTTGCACGGCAACACTCTCCAGATGTCTCACTATCAGCGGAGAGGGCTAAATAAAGACCATAACCGTATCGCTGTACTTACAGCTTGTGTGGCTGTTGCTGTAGAAACAAGAAGAAAAACACAGACACAACACCGTACAGACCGTTTGCACGAAATAATCATTTGCATGATGTAATTTATAAATTTAAAACAATTAAAAAATGTAGGGTTGGAGAACAGCGTCATAGAAATGCAGCTACCATAGGACAGGAATCCCAACATTGCCAGCACTGGGCCATTACGGAACCCACCCCACCCCACCCCCATGCCGTGCACGCACAGTGCATGGCCATGTGGTACCGCTAACCAAACGAAATACAACAACTAACTCCGGACATGCCCATTAGAATATCCTCGCTGGTCTAGCCGATGTACGTGAACGCACGAGCCGGCCCCATCATGTGTACGGACAACCAGGCTGCGGGGGAATGCTCGAAGAGAAGAGCAGAACCGGTGCATATAATTATTATGTACATATGTATGCTCAACGCAATACGCAGCAAAGGCAAGGTTACAGTCAACTTCGCGTATAACGACACTCGGCGGGGCATCAGAAAAGTGTCCTTATTAGCGAAGTGTCGTTATTCCCGAAGTCCCATTATAATGTATTACAGTTGGACGAAACTTTGCTCTGGGCATGGACATTCTGACGTTATTCGCGAATTGTCGTTATATCTGCAGTCGATATTAGCGAAGTTGACTGTTACATGCGAATACAGAGTACACGTACATGACAGTGTTGAATGTCACAATGCCAGGCAGTCCAACTCACATGTAATGGTGGCCACACTGGTCTGCTCGGCGAGAGCTTTCTTCAGAGTCTTGCACACTGCCGGTAAGGGCCCAGCACCAGCGGTCACCTTCGACGGGGATATATCGCCGCCGTTGGGCCCCTGCTGGTAGAACCACGTTCCCGTTTCCAGTTGTAACTCACTGCACACACAACAATCACACAATCACAGAGTTCATCTGCAGCTCAAGACGTGTGTCACACCGCGTGTTGATGGACACATTTCAATGAGAAGAACAACAGAAAAGCGGTGGGAGTTGAATATGGGCATTGATCCTTGAGGGTGGTGGTATTCCTACGCGTGTGAAAAAGATAGTCTGGCCGACTCGCAAGCAAACAGTGAAAACAACTCCATTTTAGTAACCTATCCTTGTGCCGACTCTATTATCAATCACCGGCATATTTTTCGATTCTTTTAACTACATGTGCATAGGATCTGGTTGTATCTTTCCCACTTGGTCATGTACACTACTTACACATGCACCATCTACCAGTAACTTGCATGTTAGGGCTGTCCAGTGATAGTTGAACCAAGCCGTGTAGGCATGCAGCAGTTTTAACTGCATCAGACCATGAGATGTAAGTTGGGATCAGGATCTGGTGTCAGCCTTTCATGTAACACTTCAAGTAACAATTATTTTGAAGTACGATTAGTGAAGCTGCCCAATGCTAATGCACCAATGACGCACATGTACCAATGACGCTCATGTACCGATAACGCTCATAACGACGGTCATGCACACGCTGGGAAAAGTTGAGAAAACAGCACCTACCGGTTTACGCTGCACTTTGAGCACTCCCACGTGTTGTTGTCCCGTTTCCGGCAAGCCTTGCAAACCTTGGAGGAGCATTTAGGACAGAGGGCGCCACGGTTGAAGATAATGCCAAACTCTGTACCGCAACACTTGCAGCCATTCTCCGAGCGAGCAGCCTTCTGGATTGACTGTAGACGTTTGGCCGTTTCCCTGAAGCCAGAAGTAAAACAGCACCCCATACTTATAGCAAGACATCCAGCAAATAAAAGACGTGTTCACAATACTGTATAAGTACAAATTTTTGTTTACGAAATTTTTCGTTAGAGCACTCCCCAGCAGGTTCGTTACTTACTAAAGTTCGTTTTTGGTGAGGTCTGTCACCCCGAACGTTCGGAAAAAAAACTTTATTTTGGTACAAACTTTAGTTATTTCGTGACCCCTAACGAATATAGCAAAAGTTAATTCCAAACGACACCTTGTACTTATACAGTATCCCGCTCAACATAGAGGTTAGGAACTGTCTGCAAATGCCGATAATTTTTTCCCAAATCTGTAAAGAAATTTGTAGTTTCCTCATGTTATATCCCGTGTGCCCAAACCAACACACACGCGCGGGTACAAGGCATGTAACAAATATCCAAGTCTTACTTTTCCAGAGGACAACATAAAGTTAAGACTAAAGAAAAAACTAGCCTCAGGTTTCTCGCGAGCAACATGTGAGGTTTCTCACAAGTACTTCCATCGGATCCTTGTCAGGTAGATACAGGCAGAAAAGAAACTGACCCGTACACAAAACTTTTATACGACGTACCGTATTTTCCAGAGTATAAGCCGCACTTTGAACACTCAAAATTCACCCCAAAAATGGAGGGTGCAGCTTATACTCCGATGATCAAATTGACGATGATAAATAGGGTAGATGTCTGTATTTCGTGGCAAAAAATGGGGGGGGGGGGGGGAGTGTGGCTTATACTCCAGTGCGGCTTATACTCGGAAAATGCGGTACATGTGATATAAGTAGCAGTAGGATTAGTGAGAATGAACACACCAAAATAGAATGTGTCGACTCTCAAAACTAGCAAGTTCTATAGTCGTGCACGAGTGGTGGAGGTGAGAAGAGGTCAGCGTAAGCATGATATGCGCCGTGATAACAATAGATGACAAATGGACTGAATTTACAATGTGTTGATGTCCTACCTATCAGCCTAAGTGTTAGTATGCTCTGTTGTGCTTGTCAGCACAACAATCATGGTGCCTTGAAAGGTTGAGCAGAACTTTTTTTAATTTCGGTAGAGAAACCAGGCACCTAAACTGAGGGTATACCTAAAAGGTACTAAAGTATACTGAATGTGAAGGAACGAGCGTGTACAGTTGCGCTCGGTGAAATCAGGCCTCGAGTGCTTATTCGGCGCCCTCAACTTGCACGGCCCTTGGCGCCCTGAAAGTGGTATGAATGCAGCTGGACGCGCACGCAAATACAGTGATGTACATGTACTCAGCACAGGTTCTGCGGCACCAGTTTTGCACTTCGGGCCGGATTTCACCGAGCGTAACTGCATGATGCAATGCAGTTTATATCCAGACAGATCTTATAGCGCGGAAAGAAGACACTAGTCTTTCTTTGCTTCTCACTACTTCTCTTACTTGTTACTATCTTGTCTAAGTGTGCAGCTATTGTTTCAAGCAATTGCGCTTGGCTTTATAGTTTCACAAAGGAAATTCAGGAAATATGGTCTTCTGTGATGGTATTTGTAGATGAGTGCTGGTAAGCCCACAATGTGTCGCTTGTGACAGCTGAGAGTGAGTTCAACTTTTTTTCAATCTGCGGATCATTATTATTTACTGGTAACTCGTGGATACAGTGGTCCCTCTATAATCCGGCACCATTTGTGCCACGGAAATCTGCTGGATTAGGGAGGGTGCTGGATTAACAAATCTGATCTACTGCTGCAATGTGCATGAAGAGGACATTTGGCTACTGAAAATTGTGCTGGTTTATCGAGGGTGCTGGATTATAAAGTGCCGGATTAGAGAGGGACGACTGTACTAGTACTATTGACTATTTAAATTAAATTAATTAGAACACAAAGAGAAAAAAGTATCTGGCAACACTTACTTGACCTGAACATCTAATTCTTTCTGTGCTTCTTCTTCACGTTCAAGAACACCGAGAATATGCCGTCGTTCTTCCTCGCTCAGGAAACTAAAATCATTGGCATCAGGCTTCGCCATGGTGCACCACACTTGTTCGTCAACAGCCTACAGATTATCGATGCATTCCATGACTTCAGAAGTGAACACAAAATATTTTCTTCTTAGCAGCAGGCTGACAGGTGCATTCAGCTCAGGTCACTGGCAAGCAACACGGTTCCCAGTGACAGGATTCCGGCTCGAAGCACAATTACTACGGCAGAGATCAATGTCAGAACAACACGAATTGATGGCTGGCCACATGGAGAGAGTAATATCTAATGTTCTCAATCTCTTCAAAATCTTGTACGACGCTTCTCAATCTCCATAAAATTATTGAGTGGAAATTGCCAACTTGACTTTCGGCTCTGCAATGCAAACAAACTACTTCTTGAAAGACTCGACTCCTCTGGTTTGACACAAAAAGAAGAGGTGAGTTTCAAGTGGTAGGGTGCTAGTGCTACATTTCAGGAACAGTCGGCCAAAATGATGATGACGGAAGACGTGCCGCCGCTATTGGCAATTGTTCACTTTCATCAACAACTGCAAGTCAGCTGTGAGAGCTGATTGGATGAGTGCTGGTCCGAGGTTATCGTGACACCCATACTGGCCATAATAGTAGCCTAGCCCATGCATGGCATACTGCCGCATTGGGCCAAAGTCCATACACGGATATCGATACAGCTCATCCTTGCATGCTGCATGCTAGCTGACACCAAAACAGATGACCCAAACCAGAAACAAAACACTCGTACTGAGCATGAGTCGTAGATCTAGCGTATACGTAGTCGTACAAAAACTTACTTGATGATAACTTAATCCAACATGTGAAAAACTTACTTGTATCACTATCATGTCTTTTTCATGACTGTGTAGATCTTACCGGTACCACGTGTAGGTCTACTGAGTACAGTCGCAGATGTACAAATCTGGGATGACGCTGAAACATCGGAGGCGGAGCCACCCGCCGGCCGTACCGGCGTAGGTCTACGAGTACGAGTACGAATAATCTTTTCACTACAAAGTAGAGCCAGGGAGTCGTCAAATTAATACCAATTATTTGACAACTCCCTATAATTGTAGGCCCTCCTTTTCACAGTTTTACCTCGAATGGTTCTTCACATTCTGTACATCATGTCTCATTGTGTATCCGTAGTTTGAGGGAAAGGTGCAAACGGGAACGGCCGGAAGCTTGAAGTGCAGTGCACTAGTATTGTGGACAGATGCGCGCACTAGATATAGTGGCAGAGTAGACTACTCTGCCACTATATCTAGTGCGCGCATCTGTCCACAACTAGTACGCTCTGTCAATGTCATCATCACTGACAGCAGGCATTCAGGAAACCTTCCCCATCCGCCTAGCGCCTATTGAATTTATTATTATTGGGTACCATCAAGCGTATAATTATAAGCTGGGAGCTTATTTAAAAAGTTTACTCGTGTAGGCCATGGGTAACAGTTCTATTCATGTGCCACTATTGTACTTACTCACTAGTGAACATCAGTTCATCATACATCATACATCATTACATCAAGAGTATATTAAAGCATTAATAACTTTATTAGGATGACCCAAAGGCAAATCGCCTATCGAGGGGTTCACCCCGTTGAATGGTTGCGATATGACAAAGCAAAGAGGCAACCATTGTGCGTGTGGGGGGGGGGGGGGGGGGGGGAGTTTCGAACTATGCACAGCGATTTATACTCTTGATTACAAACAAAAAAGTCATGTTATACAGTCATGTTATACAGTCATGTACATGACTAGACTGTGCTCAAATGCCCGTATTAATGGGCAGAGCGTCGTACGCAAGAGGTACACAAAAGAAAGTAAAATAGGCCATAGGGCTGTTCCGTTGTTACTCAGAGTTCCATGGCAAAAAGCAATCATCAGACAACAGTATTATAAATCAGAGTTATGTGTCCACACTGACTACATGTAGTGCAGTACAAGTCTACAGACTGCACTCACAAGGCAGTATAGGTACATGATTGTACAATATATTGACAGCATGAAACAAGGTGTAGTGTATTGTACTATCATATAAATACCATTTATCACTCCCTTAGTATTGACTCACATAGATTTTTGCCATACCTAAGCAGTCAAATATTCCTGCATATTTCACTGCTTAGGGCTATATTGACCGCTTATATTTGACTCCTTTTTAGCGATTGAACACATGCTTTGGTCAGTCGTGATAAATCTAATATTGACTTCGTACTTGGTCAGTATAGGAAATAAAAGACCTCGTAAAAGACCTCGGCTTCGCCTCGGTCTTTTACTCGGCTTTTATTTCCTATATTGACCTCGTACTCAGTCAATATTAGATACGTACATGTACAATCATGTACTAGTACTCGTCCTTGACAAGTTGCAGTAGCAGTGGCAAAGAGTACATAATCACTACTTCAGTACTTGGTTAACTTGGCTGGTATATTTTCATTTTACTTTGCCAGACTGAGCAGGCATTGCTGCCTTCTTGACTGGAAAAGTGGATTGTCCAAGCTCTCACAGAATGACGCCTTGAAGAAAGGAAGATTGTAGTCTGTATTGATGCACTCTTGATGTCAGCATTCTCGGTTGTGCCGTGCGGTCCGTGGCAGCATCAGTACTGGCAGTAGCATTACACTGTGACTTAGTTTCTATGTCAAGCCTGCCAGACGGACATCAATACTTCTACACATAGTCATTTTACCCTTGTCTTTATTAATAACCACCGCAGTTCCCTGCTGGCAGCATTTTTTTGTTTTGTTTTCCGAGCCAATGGCAATCACACTGCTGTTTTCACTCAAGGCCAGACTAGAAGGCTCCTTAGTTTTGCCCAATGCTATTTCACGATACGGTTCCTATGCTTTATCCGACCTGGCTGCAGACGGGTGGAACTCTCTTCCACCCGAATGTCGCCAGGCAGCTTCCTTCGCAGCATTCATTAAGGTGGCTGGGGCGGTACAACTTTTTTGGGAAATTTTTGACTGCATTTTGGAGTTAATCGGCAAGGCAGAGATGAAATTTGAAAATGTTTTCTGGTGAATCTCTGGAGAATAGCTTTCTCTAGCTTCCTATAGTTTTATTTTTACTTTTGGACAAAATTTGAAAACGTTTTATGAAAGGTTCGTGTTATTTTTTCACGGACCTTTCATAAAACTTTTTCAAATTTTGTCCAAAAGTAAAAATAAAACTATAGGAAGCTAGAGAAGGCTCTTCTCCAGAGATTCACCAGAAAACATTTTCAAATTTCATCTCCACCTTGCCGATAAACTCAAAAATGCAGTCAAAATGTAATCAAAATGACACCTAAAAAGTTGTACCGCCCCAGCCACCTTAAGTCTGTGGGGACTGCCCTACAATTAATAATTATTATTTATAGTAAAACAATACACACTACTACTACAGTCTACTACTTCCAAATACGTACCACTATACCGTACTTTCCTTTCGGATTTTGCAACAAGTCCTACCGGGGCAGCCACGAATGAATCAAAGAGGCATTCTCTCAAGGCTTTCTGCAGAGCTTCTATGAATCTCGATTGAACCCAGATAATCTATCCTTCCAGGAAGCTCCCCCGGTAAGTACCCATTGCCTTTTGGAGAATCCTTCAAATAAGATACATGTACCGGTATAATGATGAATAACGGATGAGCATTCGACTCGTCTGAATGTTTGAAAGGTTTCCAACAATAAACATATCAAATATTGAGGAATGTACTACTCATCCCGTGCCAGCTCACCATGACCCATGCAATCAACATACACACATCTTTCTATAGCTTAGTGCAGGGTAACAGCAACTTTAAGGCCCGACCAGGGAGTAGTATAATACCAGCTTACTACACTGTACTTTCTGGTCCTGACATGTGCAAGTGACATCAATTTGTTTCTTAGGGACCATCCGTAAATATAGATATTCATTTTAGAAACGAAAACTAGTCGTATAGAGAGAGGGGGTCGAGCGCCTGTTCGTTTCTCGAAAAGTATCGATGCACAGTTTGTATGTGTGGGCACGTCCAAAAAAAAGAGGAAAGGTATCGATACTATGTGCCGTTTGTATGTGTTCGTTTCTCTAGGAGGGGGGTTGAAGAGAAATGACTAGTTTTTGTTTCTAAATAAATATCGGTATTTAGTATTTACGGATGGCCCCTATAGCTACCAGCATGATATTGATCACTACACATGATACGGAGGTTTAGCAAGACGAATTTCATGTTTGTGTTCGCACTCCAATGAAAGTCGAACTCAGTGATGAAATTCGCGTTATGATGAGGATTAGCAAACAGAATTTTCACTTGCACGACGCTGACAGGTTGTACTTCAGAGTACATGTGTACCGGCACTGACAAAGTAGTAAATTATTGACTGTCCCGAAACGAATCCGCGATTCGGGTTTCGACAGCTTTTCCGAACGAAAAGTGCGAAAGTTCGCAATCCAGTTTGCGAAATCAAACGCAAAATTCGTGATGCTAAACCTCCGTAATTACATGACCAGTGGCCAGGTCATATCATCCAGTCTCTGGTAAAGGAGTGCAACTGTGTAACCTGACCGGAATTTCACCCACAAGGACATTCCAGTAATTTCATACCACTCACACAGCCATCAAGGAAAGTGTAAATTCACTGACATTTACAAGGTCATGTCAACAAATTACGGGTCAGGGGCAGCAAGAAGCCAGCAAGTCAGAGATGAGGTGCTGTTCAAATACCGTACAAGCAGAACAGCAATGAGGGCAAGACTGCATGCATGGCCTACACCAAGTCTCAACAGAGGAGCAGCTATTCTAGCCTTAAAATGTACTGAAATACATTCACAAAACGGGATGTAAAGAAAGAGAAAATGAAAAAAGTGCGGCAGACCAGGCAACCTAAAGATGTATATACAAAATGAGCAAGATGGAGTCAAGCACACATGCACTCACACTCACTTCAGAGCTGTGACAAACACACATGCGTACACACAGGCACACACCACGCGCACAACCACCCACGCACACACACCACGCGCACACACCACACACACATACACACACAACAGAGGCAAACAAAAACGACGCACACTAACACACTAACACACCTACATCTACCGACCACCACGTCCGCGGCTGCTGCCACCTCTGCTGCTAGGCGGACCGCCGCGTCCTCGTCCTCTACCGCGACCTCTACCACGACCACGACCGAGGGCAACTGAATAGAACAAGAAAACACAATGAAGCCAAGGTTGCTTAGACTGGATGGAGACAATATCACAAAAAACCCAGACACAACATGCATTGTGTGTACCAAGTAATACTATAATTATAGTCTGCTAACAAAAGACCAGCAGACTTCACTGACCACATTTTCACATTTTACAAGTATGTGCTACAGCTTGCATCTATTGTACCCAACAGTCAAGGTCAATACAACCAAGAGTACATAACCCCCCAAGAGTGTGCAACTCCCACATACCCTGCTGGCCTGACAGAATTTCAGGTTGACGTCATTATTTATGATGCAATGCTCCTTGCACCAGTGATTTACAACATGTATACAGGTGTCAACGTATCACGTTTTTCTTTGCAATAATTTGTACAGGATTAGATGGGCTTCGGTCCACCACACGTTCCGGATTCGTCTGATAATCCGTGTACAGTGCGCATTAAAAAAAATGACATCAACTTGAAATTCCATCGGGACAGCACCCATAGTCGAGTTGCACGCTCTTGGAGGTTATGTACTCTTGATACAACCAATGCATACGGGAGGGGGGCTGTAAAGAATGAAAATCAAAAACAAAATTCGGCTCTTTGAGGCAGGGGTTTGAAGAGCTGTTCGCTTCATCAATGACGTCGACGTACTGATCAGCATATTATGGTTGTGTGTTTGTAATGTGAGGGGAATGGGTAGGAGGAGAAGTTCAGGGCACACAGCATACTGTAAGTCAACAAATATTCGGCGCATATTTATTTTCGGCTATTTTTGGCACAATTAGTTTCATTCATTGCTATTTTACGACTATTGTCTCCTCGTAGGTTCAACTTATCGAAATATTTTCGGCCTGGTCATGCTTGGCCGAAATTTTGTTTTGCAAGGTGCAGTGTGACAGTGTATACAGACGGCAGCAGTACAGGCCGAAAGTTTGATGCGGCCGAAATGGGTTTTAGCCCTGGCAGGCCGAAATTTGACTGGCCAGAAAATTTGTAGACTCACAGTAGTAAAAACAAGTGAGCGCCATTTTCGATTGAAATCACTTTTATGCATGGAGAGTTGGAGACACATAGTACATGGCCATGCACCCAAAGACCGAGCTGGGGGACTTCAATCAGTTCATTTTTAATCGATACAGTTTGGCTTGCATGTGTGGCCAATTAGCAAAGTATCTGTTCGTTCAGGCATATTTCTCATGTCAAGGATGGTACTATAACTGTAATACGTATCGGGTACTGTATTTCCCCGGAAAAGTCACACGAAGTCGTTACGTTGGCGATGGCGTGTTGCTCCCTACATGGGAGCTTGCACTTTTCCTGCCGACTTGACGCGTATAAGCCACACCTATATAGATAAAATCCCAAGGCTGAAGAAGGAGAGTGTGGCCTACTTCAAGTTTGACTTCTTACTCAAGCGAACACACAGGCACAATACATCCGAGACCTGGAAGTGTGGGCGTGACATAAAATACGATTAGACTTAAATCGGGAAACACAGTCTGTAGTAGATTCCTCAAACTCGTTAGCACCATGTTTTTCAGATATAATGTACATGTACACCATAGATCATCAAAAATCGACCCAGAGGCGGGCACAAGCGAACATTTCAAGGGCAATCCTACCTGCAGTCTAACTGCGAGGAAGAGCCACGCACTGGGCATGTTACGAATGAAGAAACTACACTTGAAGGACAGTGACTTTGTGTGAGATGATTTTGTTCCGCGCCTGACATCTCCCAGAGTATCACTTGCCGTTTGCTATCTTGTACTACAACTCCGAGTGGAAAACTGTTTATCTCTACTACTGTTAGAGCTCAGCCGACTTGCACAAGTCTGGCGAACAACTCCACGCGATTCCCCATCTTACTTAAATTAGACTATCTTTTCTTCATGCTCCCCTGGAGGAAGCAGGTACTCGGCTCTGCAGTGCCCTTCAGTTACTATGTAGGCCCGAGCAATACAGGGCCAGCACAACGGCCAAGCCATTACATTTTGACTTGTGCCATGGTACCGTGAGCCTTTCTTCAGTACTGTTTTATTAACGAATTTTTAATTTCATGCTTTGAAATTCGGTTTTGTTATCTGCAAAAATGACGCGCACATATTTAATACATGTATGTACAGTCGTTTGCCGGTTGACATCCAGAATTCGCTAACATTTTATGTTGTCAATCGACAAAAATCTGGTGATCGTTATATTTAAAATTTTAAATGGCGTCAAAATATGTGGTCTTACATCAACTGGGAACTTCTGATCTGACACTAGGGAACATGGGGGCAGAGCATGGGATTCTTGGACCTGCCACTTTAGGAGCTACATCAGACCCTTTGATTCTTGAAGGCGGTGGCTTCCCTCCCCGCGAATGCGGAGAAGTCAGTCTGACTGACTCAAACGCAAACCGTGAAATTTATAAATTTTAACCCTGTGTGTACTGATTTCCAGCACAGAAACAGAATTAGAATTTTCAGCACAATTTTCACCTTCAACAGGCTATAACTTTGGCCTCCATCACTTGATTTTTCACAATCTTGGGCTTGTTGAAAAGCTCTTGGCGAGAGCAAGGCCAGAATACCAGATTTTATCAATCAGCCGCGGGAACACTGCAAAGTCGTCTCCAAGCCCGGTATGCGAGCAAATTCGGCCCATCAACGCCATTCCACTCTATCGCAGAACGCTCAAATTTTTTCGAGGCGATTCAAATTCTAGTGATGTAATGTGAGGGATGCCATGAGCATGGAGCTTAGAGTAGTGACAAAAATTTCTCGACCACTGTTGTGCTGGTTTACGGTACTGTAAAATATGTAATTTTAGATGCATCAAAATTTCGGTGCCAGGGACCTGCCAGGGACCTGCCAGGTGTAAGGCCACCCTTTCTTTTTTCGTTGTTTAACGTCCGCGCCCGCGTACCTTTTTGCCTCCGACCGAAAAAGAACAAGTAGTAGTACCAATAATATGCGAAGTTGTAAATACATGATTGTGTAGTTTCACAGTGTGCCGATCATGACCTTAAACTTATAATCTTGCCTCCCGGCCATGCCTTTGTCTTGTGTTCTTTTTCTTTTTTTTGTTGGCTTTTAAATATCGTACGGTGTGTGTCCCAGTAAAAATCCAGATGTAATGAATTCATGACATGCTAACTCCATGCTATGTACCTGTTTTGTTGAATTCATCAGGCATGTGCTCCAATGTACCATCAAAGAGTGTTGTTCTATGCCTGCAAGTGCCGTTAGACCCAGAAATATTGTATATATCACATGCTTTACTGGTCAAAATGTTTGATTGGGGTTTCCAGTTTTTGGAATGGGCTTTTTTTTCTTTTTTTCGCCCATACCTTTTCGCGGAAAAAAGGACGTTAAACAATGAATTAACAAAGGGTGGCCTAATGTAGAATTATGTGACCAGCTTTCCCTTCACATACAGTGCATACTCTAGTGCCTTTTAGGTGTAATTTAAATTTAGGTGCATGTCTTCTCTACCGAAATCAATGAAATTAAAGTTACACCGAAAATACTTCCTCCGCGTCATTAAAATTGTCGCTTCCCAGAGCGATTCTTCGAATTTATTTTGTCCACTCGAAGGATGAAGGAATCAGCTAGAAATTGAGGCAGAGCATTGTCGACGGACCAAGCTTTAGTTTGTGGCCTCCCGCTTCGCTTCACTTGCAGCTAAGGTCGACAAGGTCTTCATCAGAGTTTGAGGCAGACTCTTCAGCACTCAACACGCTGAACAAGACGCGCGTTCAAATTCAGGTCAAGAAACTTCGTTTTCAAGCGATCCATGCCTCCAGGTGGCAGGCGATGAAGGCAAGCTAGCATTTTTCAAGTACACTGTAACGACCTTCCAGCGGGATAGGGTAAGCAGTTCCGCACTTTCTTTCCTCGGCAAGCGCTTCGCTGATTTTGTTCGTGTTTCAAGACCTGCTACCTTCGCAGCAACATGCGCCACAGGTAGCGCATTTTAGGAATTTTTAGAACACTTTGTTCTTGCCATCGTCAACTTCAGCATTTCGTATTTAGGAGAGATACCAGGATTCTTATACCCGAGCTTGCAGTCTTGTAAAATGCCCAAGGAGCGATGTGGGACGGCACGAACTCCAGAAAAACGATATGCGCTCTAAGGCGGAATAGTGCGGAGCGCGATGAATTTGCTTGGTGCGGAAGAGAGCTCCGACAAAGTCCGAGACCACCACGGCTTCAGTAACAGGTAGACATTGCGCAGGAAGGGTCGCACCAATGTTCGAACACAGAAAACAGCGATTCTGACAGTCTGACTAAGACGAGCCAAGTCCCAAACATTGCGATGTGCGAAGCGACAATTTTAACCTGTTCAGCACGAAGGACGTAATAATACGTCATTCAGAATACCACTGCACCACGGAGGACGTAATATTACGTCCTCAGTGTACATCGTGCATATACGCGATTTGTCTGGATCGCGTGCGTTCAAACTATCATAACTCAGTCAATTCTTGGTCGATTCTCACGATCGAAGTATGTATCAGGAAGAGAAAACTCTCAGCTTGCGATAGAAACAATTGCCGAAGCGATACGACCCCGGGTTGTTGAGATATGCGACTCGACACGGCAAATTCAAAGAGAATTTTTTGCGCGATCTGCAGAACGCGTATTTTGCATTTTCGATCATTTTTGCGCTACCTGCTGCCATGGAAACTAGATTCAAATGATGGTGGCGGATCTCGGGAGTCCTCAAAAAAATTTGAGCTCGATACGAGCAAGGAGGGCGAAATGGCAGCTGAGGATTTGGTCTCTTGCCCGTGCTCAAGTCTGTCGAGCGCGTGGGTGAAGTTTGCCAGACTGTAGCATGGGCGTTTAGTTTCGCTCCGAGCTGAGTTTGGAACTAGTTTGTGCTCCTCGTCTCAAGACCTTTCCAGGAAGCTCAAGATCGTGGAATTCGTCCAAGGGAAGGTAAAGTTATCGATCCTTGAACAGGTAGTACTTTCATAGGAAAAACACCACTTTTGCAGGTGTTGCCGTGGGGAGGCATTCAGGTAGCGTCGTGCTCAAAAGGTTAATGACGCGGAGGAAGTAACATGTTTTACAGTGTGTCTAAGCTCTAGCATTCGGGTATTGAGCACGTTGGCTTCGTTCGCAGCTTCCCCGCATGCTATATATTTTTATGTATAAGAAATTCTTAATCGGAATCGCGGGGTGACTGAATACATAGAATGACCTTGGATCAGAGTGGACCCAGCCAAGAGCAAGCCTCAGGTCTGAGTCCAGTAGATCTGTCAGATGACCCCGACTTTATCAAACGAATGGGTGTACGCTTTTCAAACATGAACTGATCACCCTGTCCTACACAACTGTTTAGGTACTGAGTGCAAACATGTTGTGCCTCATTCATCTCCTAGGAGAGGAAAAAGGAAGAGACATTCAGCAATATGAAGCCTAATAAAGTTATATAAACGTACCAGCCTCCTTCTTCTTTGCCTTAGCCTTGGGCGTGTCATCAATCAACAGAGTATCCAAGGGAAGACTGTCTGGAAGAAGGATGTAACGAATATTGTTTCCACGAATGGTCAATGTGTCCAGCGCTACGGGATCTCTGTTCTTGATGGTCATCTTGACCGATTTTAAATGAGTATTCATGCTGATGTCCACACCTGCACAGAAAAAGTGTCATGAAAAAAAGTATCATGAGCCAATTCAAATCAAACTTGAAACAACAAATTGAGGGTAAATATATCACACATGAGAAAAAAATTCGCCAACACCACAACGCTTACCAGTAACTGTTCCATGGACTACTGTTCCATTTTTCAGCTCGATTGTTACAGTCTCATGACTGAGTTTCATTAAAAACCTAATCACGGAAGAAAGTACAGAGCACATTCAGAATTATAAGAGATGAAGAAAATTGAGTGAGAAGGCGATGGGAACATCACTATCAGTGGAAGAGGAAATTTACCTGACCAACTTCATTGCAAAGCTGGGCGTCTGTCCTGGTTTGTTAGCTTCTTGCTGTCCAAATTATATAAAGCTACTCCTTCGTACAATTTACATAAACAAGCTGCTTCAACACTTGTATCCTCAGATCAAATTGGCTACTCTCACGACCCTTCGCAAAATAATTCAAGAAAAATGTGCCATATCCCCGGACCAGATATCCCAATCAAAACACGTTCGGCCATCGCACTTACTTTCTTGTGCACTGAGCTAGCGCTAGCGCGCTGTCAAAGAGGCGCCATTTTTTATCTATGCACGCATGCACTGACAGTTGGGGACAAGACCGTGTCCGGTGCAGCGGCAGTGGTGTCGTTGGCCGACAGACACCCAGCGCTGCGACATCTCACCGCTCTACAATACACTACACTTGACGTCTCGTTGCTTCGCCCAATGGTCCTTCGGCAAAATAGAACATTGTACCGTAAAGTACCGCCAGAGCGCCCCACCATCTCGTCCTTTCGTGGCCGCCTTGTGGAGGTGGATTACTGTCTGTAGGTCATACGACACGGGCCTTGTACAAACATTGCACATTGTGCAGTCAATCCGTACCCAGTTAACCTTCGAGCTCCACATAAAAGCATACCAAGTGTGACCTTAGGACACGAAGGTTCTCACATCGTACAAATTAAGTAGCATTCTGCCATACAATTTTCTTCCCTTGGCTGTAAAATCAAGGTGGGGCGCTCTCGCGAGACGGGGCGCTCTGGCGGTACTTTATGGTACTGGCAGTCTGTGCTAACTAGGCCTTTCCCAAACCGGCCATTTATTTCTTATCACTCCCTTAGTATTGACTCACATAGATTTTTGCCATACCTAAGCAGTCAAATATTCCTGCATATTTCACTCCTTAGGGCTACCGGTACATGTATATTGACTGCTTATATTTTGATAAAAAATGCCAAATGTTAAAAATAGCCAAATCACTTCGTAGGCACCGTTCAACTGCGCAACCCCTAAGCAGTCAAATATAAGCATTTAATGTGTAAAATTTGCTTTTCTTCTGGCTGTTTCTCTGCTCCGGATGGCGGAAACATGGCTGGTGGCAAATGAGAGCCAGTTTATCGTAGATCAACATTGACCAGAACATTTGGTGCATATAATTTAATTCTCCCTGCCACGTTGGTATAACTAGTGTTGGGTGCTTTGCCATTTTGTGTAAAATGTGTAAAATAAGCCCCTGAATGGACGAGGAGGGCAGTGAATTGCTTCCGCAGGGCCTTTGGACGACGTCAGGCCGTCTTGCCATCACTAAAGACAATGATGAAGAACAGTAGGTCACGGAATACACTCTGTGAGAACGAAAACATGGCTGCGATGCTATGCTACCTATCCAATTCTACCGTATTACACAGCCACTAGTTACAAATACAAAAACACGGCTTTCGCGGCATACAATGCAGTTGACAGATTAATTTTCATCCACTGGCAATCCTTGAAGTGATATCTATCAACTTCAGAACATTGATGACCGAATATCCCAGTTTGTGATGCCATTTTACAAATTAATTTGTTAAAAAATGACACACCAATTATTTGAATCCTGAGAATACTATGAAAGTAGGACATGATTCAGGACACTTTCCAAAGTAGGATCATTCCCATTTTTTGAGACAACGGGCATGAAGGATAGCACTTCCACTTGCAACAATTCATTTGGACGTAGCTTGCCTAGAAGTGGCTGAAAAAACGTCATTTTACAACCATGTTAAAAAAGCCAAATCACCTCGTAGTGCAGCATTGTCACTGCATGAGTAGGTGGTGGTGCAATGGTTGTGCAATCATAAAACCGGGATTCATGAGGTTATCGTTCTGGAATTTGAAATACGGACTGTTTGTCGTGATAAATCTAATATTGACTTCGTACTTGGTCAGTATAGGAAATAAAAACCTCGTAAAAGACCTCGGCTTCGCCTCGGTCTTTTACTCGGCTTTTATTTCCTATATTGACCTCGTACTCAGTCAATATCAGATACCTATTCGGCTTTTGGATCGGCTGAAAAAATCGCCAGAATCGGCTGAAAATTTCTGTAAAAGGTGGAAATTCGGCTCTAAAGTCGCAGCCACCTTTCGCAGATAATGGCTACAGAAACTGTATTTGCATGCTATTGAGGCACTAAAACATCAATTCTCGGCGAATTTAGTGCGAAAATTGCGCATTCGGCTAAATGATCGGTGATTTCTTCAAATAATTCTATTGATTGTTTGAGTGTGTATGATGATTCCCACTTCTCTGTACTGTGTCGTGCCCGTTATGTCCAGCAGTTGAAGGTCCTTGAAGCTGTTTGTATTCGTACGCATAAGCCCGATTTGTGTAAGCAAAAAGAACGTATTTTAGCACTTAGGTTATTTTCGTGAGTTTGCACCCCGTGTTCATGAGTTGTTTCTGCACTGTTCATGCCCGTTTGTCACACTTACTCTTTATTTTAGTTCTCACTTTTTGTAATACTTACCACAAGTTATCCGTCATGTGTCACACTTCTTTGGATTTTTAACCTTTGTTTTTCCCTTGATCTCTTTAGTTCCGTATTTCCACTGATGATCGGAGCGTGAAAATCGATTTTGGAAACACACAAAACCAAACCTTGAACAAATTGTCATGTTGCGTGGTGATGTCTGCGGCATTCATAGATTTCTTCAAAACCACTATTTTCGGCCAATGTTTCGACCGGCCGATTTGGGAAATGCCCACGGGCCGTGACGCAGGCGCGCACGAGCGGTCATGCCCAGTTGCCCACGACCCTGCAAAACATGTACACAATGTACATGTATATTCGGCGATTTCTTGGTAAAATCTCAGAATTCGGCCAAAAGATCGGCGATTTCTTGGTAAAATCTCAGAATTCGGCCAAAAGATTGGCGATTTTCTGAAAAGGCTACTTTTCGACGAATTTTTCCGCCGGCCGATTTGGGAAAGGCCTAGTGCTAACTGGTGCAGTAACAGTCAGTGTTGGCTAGCTATGCTATGGCCCCAACACAAATACATCATACAGTTTACGTGTACCAAAGGTAACGATTCTCACTCATTCTCAACGCTCAATAGGACAGTATACATGTACATGTATCAATTTCTGTATAACGATTTCTATTTTAACGACAGATTTCTCCTCGTTACTCGTTAGAGTTAGCACTTCGTTATTACACTAGTATGGCTTTTACAGTATATACATGTACATGTACAGTCATGTGTACATGTACATGTACATGTACATGTATATTGAAAGTAGAGAAGATGCTCTGGTCAACTGCCCAGTAAACTTGAAGCCCTATAGTCCGGGGTGACAGACTCTACTCTAAAATTAGCCACGACAGCGCCATGATAGGGTGAAGGCGGCGAGCCTCGAAAAAGAGGGTCAGAACCGGGTCTAAGACCCATACGGTTCAGATGGTCTCAACAGACCGGGGCTCTACCTAGTACCAACCGTGAATGGTTGTGGAAAGGTCACTGTTTCCGAACACAGTGTCCTCCACCTTGTTTCATGCTGTCAACCAACAACATGTTTGAACAAAACAAGGTTTATCTACCAGTCCATGTTTTACTCTCTGCAGGATACCTCTGAGCTGATGACATGCCTTGTGCCTACATGTACGCGAATTTTGCCTGCTGTTGTAGATGTTGTAGTCTACATGTACATGCACACGCGGCAATACTCAGTATTATAGTATACTGTTCCAGATCATTGTGTGAGCATTTGCACCATGCCGTTGTTGTGCGCCGGCAAGGGGGTCGGATTTCAGTTGCCAGCACTGTACATGTAGTAACATAGTGGCTAACCTTTGTCAAAAATGTGCGCTCCGATGACCAAGTAAGTAGTTTACAAAGTCAGGATGAGCCATTCGGAGTGTAGTCAGAGAGCTGCAGCCAGTGCGGGGATGTTGAGGTTGCTCGTCGTATGCGCTTTCTCAGTGTTGTAGCTCAATGGCTGCGACGATATGCTGCGATGCAGTCTACTTACTAATACTTGTAGTAGTAGATCTACCCACCACCGAGTCTAAGCCGCCGGGGCGTAACTAGTGTTACTTCCTCGTAAGGCCACATGCACAGTATCTGTATAGTCTGCAACATTCCTTCATTTTTCAGCAAAAATTATGTACTAACTATTAGTATTACTTGCTTGATTTGCAAACACAGGTCCTGCACCAAAATAAATATCGTGCCAATGCCAATGGCAATGGCAATGCCATGACTGTTATGATGTACATGCATGTAGATCTACATGTACATGTACATGTACATAGTCATTGTACAAGTAATACACTGAGTCTGTAGATCTATCTTACTATGACTGTCACGCATGTGCCTACAGCTGTGCACTCTTTTTGGCTGGTGCCGTTTCTCGATTATTCCCCTCAGCAGCCAGCAATGTCATTATGGCAATAACAGCTATTGTAGTTGACAGCTGGACATCATGACATTTCCTGTCTGCATACTATGCAAAGTGATTATTAGCTGCCCGGAGATTATTAGCTATTATTAATTAAATTTTGTCGTGGGCTACTAGTTTTGCTACTACACGGCTACTTTATTATTATTTTATTTACTTGAATTGAAAAGCACATAACCACCAGGAAAGCTGACAAAGAAAAAAGAGCAAGAAAAGACAGATAAAATACTGTACAATACATTGTACTACAATGTAGTTTTGGCCTGAAGGCTGAAGCATGAGCGGACCATAGTCCTTTTTCTGTACACATCGGACCATTGGGTTTGAGGGAAAGATGCAAACTGAAAAAAAAAGTATACAAATAATCTACGTGGAGATAAAAGTAGCTATGAAAAGTGTGAATGCCGCAGACATCACCACGCAACATGACAATTTGTTCAAGGTTTGGTTTTGTGTGTTTCCAAAATCGATTTTCACGCTCCGATCATCAGTGGAAATACGGAACTAAAGAGATCAAGGGAAAAACAAAGGTTAAAAATCCAAAGAAGTGTGACACATGACGGGTAACTTGTGGTAAGTATTACAAAAAGTGAGAACTAAAATAAAGAGTAAGTGTGACAAACGGGCATGAACAGTGCAGAAACAACTCATGAACACGGGGTGCAAACCCACGAAAATAACCTTAGTGCTAAAACATGTTCTTTTTGCTTACACAAATCGGGCTTATGCGTACGAACAAGAGTGCATAAACTGTTTATGGACTCTTGGTACGAATACAAACAGCTTCAAG